CTGCAAGCGCCTCCTTGCTGGCCTGCTGGAAAGCGTCTCAGGGCAAAATGCTGCTGCCATCTTCCTGGCACGTAGCTTGGACTGCTCTACCCCGTTCCCTCTGAGTGCCCTCCACAGGCTCCAGCTGCTTCACTGCATCAGTGCAGATGTCCAGCCCTCCCCTGTAAGACTTCCTCTTATCCTCACGTCAGGCAAGGCCAGGGTTTGGTTGTGGGGGGGCTGACGCTCCCCCTCCCCCGATTCACATAGGGAGGCTGTGACGGCGCGTTGGGGGTCCCCCGTCTCCTGCACCCCGAAATGGCACAAACAGATTGCACCAGCTGGTGGAAGAGAGGAATTTTATTTCCTCTCCAGGTTACAGCACAGCACAGATGTAGTCTGGTCACAGAGCTGGGCTAGGATGCCTCAGGCCCCCTTGAGATGGGGGGAGACTGGGCCCCTAAACTCCAGCCCCTTTCCCTAGGCTGTCTCCTCCATGCTTCCAGCCAGCAACTCACTAACTCTCTTCCAGCCCTGCCCCCCAGCCAGGGCAGCATTCCACCTTCCTTTGTTCCTCTCCATGGGGGGTGTCTGGCCACACTGGTTTGCATAGTGACTCATCCTGTTTTGCTGGGTCGTGGTACCCACAGCAGCCAGTGGGGGTTACCCCAGAGTCAGCAGCATAGAAACTAGCCAGGTACCCCCACTACGTCACAGTGGCATAAACAGAATTCCTCCTAAACGGGAAGAGCTGAGGCCACCAAATTCGGTGTGCAGCTTCCTCTTGTCGTCACTTACAGCATGGGAAAGGGTTTGGTTGTGGGTGGGAGGGAGGCAGCAATGAAGCTTCCCCTCTGTGTATACAGGGTCACATAAAACCACACCGAAAAGAGACAGAATCAGCAGGCTGGTGAAAGGGGCTAGCTGGGTATTCCTCCCCCCCCATCCAAGACTGCCCCAGCCTCAAGCCTCCCACCCTCCAGGCACCCTTAAAAGTGGGGGGAACTGAAGCTCTCCCCCTCCCCCATTCATACGGGAACATTGCTGGCTGTTCCCCTTTGTCGGGGAGCGAGGGGAAAGTGCCCAGTTTGCTGTATTCCTCACTCTGGCTGGGGCCACAGGGGGCAGATGAATCTGGACCTGTCCCAGTTGGGAGACATGCACCCCTCCCCCAGCTGAGGCTGCTGGAACTGCCTTGGCCATGGAGAGGTGCTTCTCACCTGGCCCCAAGCTGCTGCGTTGAGAGAGGACTGGAGTTCTCCTCTCTCCCCGGGGCAGCCTGCCTCCTGAACCCCTGATAGCTAGTCTTACCTCAGAGCAGTGATTTTAATGAAGGGAAAAAAAAGAGTTAAGGACTTGTACAGTGTTAGGTAAATCTTCTTGGCAATTCATAAATCCACTTTAGATCCTTTCCGAGATTTTCTGCAAGTTGCATTTCTCTTATGATTCCCACAGTAAGAGGCCTAATAATATTTGGCCGATTGCTTGTTACAGAGCCTTCCAGATCTGGTGTCTGTTTGTGTAGTGCAAAACCAGTTGTACAAGATTGGATACAGCTTTTACAAGTAGTAAATCTATTACCAAACTTCTGTTCCAGTTACTATTTCTATAGTGCCCCCTCCATCATCCCTTTCCTTATCTTCCTTCTGTCTAGTTGTTGCAGTTTGTTCTACTGAGGGCATGTCTACACGTTCACAAAACTTATGTCGACACCCAAAAATCGACAAAAAAATTGCCAGAGGGTGTTCACACTTGCTCCCCCTGTTGACAGATCATGTCCAGATTGGGGGCACCATCGTCGACGGTGTGAGTAGTGCACCATGGGTACATATCCCACAGTGCCATGTTATGGGAAGGCAGAACTGATCCTTGTGCATCTTGGGATTTCCCCCTCAGTTCTCCCATAGCCTCTTTAGCTGCCCGGAGTGGCATCATGAATAGTTCTGAGCTCTCTGTGCTGAGGAATGTCAAAGCAGCACAGCGTCTGTCTCCAACCCCCTGCAGCAGCGGTTCCTAGTGGAGGGCAGAACAGGAACAGTCCAATGATTTGCTCTTTGTTTGCTCCCCAATTGGAGCAGCTCATTCAGACACTTCCCACAGCTTTGAAAGGGAAGGGGGTGCATGCTTGCAGGGCAGCAGAGATCACAAAACACTGAGCAGAGCCATCAGTGCAGGCATTGTGGGATACTGGCAGAAGCAGAGCAGAGCATTGTGGGATACTTGCAGAAGCCAGTTTTGTTGACAAAACAAACAGCAGAGTCTACATTGGCTCTTTGTCAACGATAAAGGGAGGGTTAAAGAAAAAAGTCTCTTGTAGGGGGCGGAAGTTTTTGGTCGGCAAAACTCAGCATTTTCCCCAACGAAAGTTTCATGGCAGTGTGAATGCTCTCACTGTTATGTCCACAAAAGGCAGTTTTTGGCAACAAAAGTTGGTAGTGTAGACAAAACCAGAGTGGTGTCCGTTGGGACTGTCTTTGCAGATGCTTATGCCCAGCACAGTGTGACCCTAGTTCTTTTGTGGGTCTTGCTCTGCTACCACAATACTTCATTTTTCTATGTGGTATGAGAGTCACATTTTCTACAGCCGGAGACGTCTGCAGGTCAGACTTGTCTATAATCTTGATACTCTTCCATCTTTGTGTGAAACCCTACCATATGCACCAGTGTTCAGGGCCGGGGAAAGATTCTAAAAGCGCTTAAAAATTCTACAAGGGAGAAGAAGCAAAGAGTATGTTGTTTTTTCTTGAAGGTTTTTATGAGGGCGCTCTTCTCCTATAATCCAAAAGAGGACAAAGCCATTCCCTGCCAGGAGGCAGGGTTGCCGTTTCAGAAGAGGCACATCTTAGAAGTGGTGAGCCAGGATGATCCCACATGGTGGCAAGCAAAGCGTGTTGGCGATACCAACCTCAGGGCGGGATTGATCCCTTCAGAACAATTCCAAGAAAGGTTTGTCGGTGACAGTTGTGGGATGGTTCATTCATTAGCCATATCATAATGTGACATTATTTTTGTGCTTCTTTTAGTGCATCAGCACTTTGTTTGGAGACATTACTCCTTCTTAAAAGCATTAACTATAGGACATGCTAGACTGGCTTAGACCAGAAAGCTATCTACTCTGGCATCCTGTCTCTGAAATTGGCTACTACCAACAGCTCTAGAGAAAGGTACTAAAATCCTCCCAAATTGACAAATTACACAAATAATTTTCCTAACTGAGGCTGTAAATGGATAGTTTACGTCCAGATGCATGAAAGCTGATATAGTTTCTTCTTTATTTATCTAGTGGAAGTGTCTCTCCTTTGAATTTTTATAAGTTCTTGACTTTATGGATACCATGTGGTAATGAGTTCCACAGGCACCTTATATATTGCATCACAAGTATTCTCATTGATTCAATGTTAGAAATACTTTACACAGGAAGCTGTTTTGTGATTACAACTCATTTTATCTCTCTGTGCTTCACGTTTCTCCTCTACAAAATGGAAACCCTTCTAATATCTTCTCCAGAGTGAGGGTTTTGATGATACATTTAATTTGAAGGTTAAATGCGTGTGTAGAAGGGGCGGTCTGAGTGGACTATGTTACGCAAGGCAGCTGTCAGAGTGGTGAAGCAAAATGCCTTTCCTTTCTGTTAGGCAAGAAGACTGCATAGTTTAGTTCAGTGGTTTTCAAACTTAGGTTCATGACCCAGTACTGGGTGGGAACGTCGGGCGCTGGATCTCATTGTTCCAGAGGGATCAGGTGACCCAGTGGGGGGGCTGAGGCAGCAACCTGCCTGTCCTGGTGCCACAGACTGCACTACGTCCCAGAAGCAGCCAGCAGCAGGCCCGGCTTCTAGATTGGGAGATAGGAGCACACAGAGCCCTGCACACTGCCCCTGCCCCGAGCACTAGCTCCGCACTCCCATGGGCTAGGAACCTACTGCTGGCTGCTTCTGGGGTGCAGCCTGGTTTGCAGTGCCAAGAGAGGCAGGAAGCTGCCATAGCACCCCCGCTACCCCATTCAAGGTAAGCCCCTCCTGCCCCAGCCCTGACCCCCCTCCAAGGCCAGAGCCTCCTCCTATAGCCCAAAGCTCCCATCCCCAGCCCCACCTCGGAGCTCGCACTCCAGTCAAATTCTGTTGGGTTGCAGCATCAACCATTTTCTTCAACTGGGTCATGAAGAAAAAAGTTTGAACCCCCCTGGTTTAGGTTACGTGACAAATCTTGTAACCTCAATACTTGTAGCAAACAAGATTTAATGTCGGTTGTTTTTACCGACTTAGCGTTTTGGCCGCTTCCAGACAGACGTGAGATGGAACGTGGAAGAAAGGTGGCCAGCCCTGGTACCATGGGTGGTGGGTGAACTGGCTTGGGAACGCTAGCTTCAAGCCCCGCCTCTTCTGCCTGAGGCCCCGCCCCTTCCATGCCCACTGAGTCCTGCCTGATGCCCCCCTCCCACCCCATGTGGCCTCTGGCCCCTGCCTCAGACTAGCTCCTCCCCCACCAAACGCCAAGGTGGATGGTCTGTGTGGCTCCAGTCTTCCCAGCCTTCGAGGGTGGTGTTGCCAGGTAACCTGATGTGACGGCGTGTTGGGGTTCCCCCGTCTCCTGCACCCCTGTAGTGGCACAAACTGACTCCACCAGCCAGTAGAATAGAGGGAGTTTATTGCTCTCCACGATACAGCACAGGTGTAATCTGGTTACAGGAACTGGGGCTAGGAGGCCTCAGGGCCCCCCCCTTGAGATGGAGGGTGGCTGGGCCCTACAATCCCAGGCCCCTCCCTAGCTCCTTCTCCCTTGCTTCCCAGATAGCAACTAACCAACTCTCTTCCAGCCCTGCCCCCCAGCCAGGGGCGGCATTCCACCTTCCTTTGTTTCTCTCCCTGGGGGGTAGCTGGTCAGACAGGTTTGGAGCCCTCTTTGCATAATGACTCACCCCCTGCCCTGCTGGGCCATGCTACAGACAGCAGAGGTCGCCCACAGCCCACTGCCCAGCATAGCAACCAGCAGGTTACCCCCCACTATGTCACACCTGACCCCAGCCTTCCTGACCGCAGAACACAGGAAGGCCAGGCAGCCACAGGCGAGCCGGCTGCCTGCAGAGCAGAAGCAGGAAGAAGTCTGGCGGAGTGTGGGGCCTTATAGGGGAGGCTCTGCCTCCCCCCCAGCCTCTGATCCCAGCCACCCATGCCTGGCGCACCATTTCTTACATAAAAATGATGTAAATTGAATAAGCCATGTAGAAATGACTAAGCTGCAGCAAGGCGCTTGTTTAGCCGCCTAGTTCGCAATTCCAGTCTGCAGTGGGTAACACCAATGAGGAAACAGCCGTTTCAGCCTGCAGCAGATAGATTTAAGCCCACAAAAAACAGAATAAACCAAACGTGGGTTTGGCATGATGATAAATTAAGATGCTGTTGAGAGACATGATAGATGGAGAAAGCAAAACATTGGCTGGAATGGTCCAGGATACCGGAGAGAGGATCTTGAACTGCTGCTTTTTCAAGAATAAAGAGAAACAAGTAATAAATAGACTATAACATGGAACCTACATAGTGAGCAAGATAAACCACAGCCAGTTTTTTTAGTCTAGCATGTGGCCACTGTCAGATACTTGCCTATGGGGCTAGGTGGATTAATTGTCCTGATCCAGCATGGCCAGTCTTCTAATGGACCTGAGAAGCTTTCTAAGGACCTGATTGTACTTGCTCCTGAGCACCACAGGCTGTTTTATTGTGACCTCTTTGCATCTCCTAAGCCATGCCAGAACCGACCCCCACCACCTTACCTTCAGGGCATCTCTTATTCTGCCTTCCACCGGGGGAGCCTGTGTGTTGGCTATCCTGCTGCTATAAGAGTGGGGGGGGGCTTGAACCCACCACCCTGCCCTCCCCAGGCAAGTGCCCTATGTCCTGCCACAACCCACCCCACTGCCTCTCCTTTAAGGTGTCCCTTATCCTGCCTCTTTCGGAGTGGGTGGGGTTTGAGCCTCCGCACCCCACCTGAGCACCCTATCCCCTAGGCCACGCCAGAACCCACCCCACCGCCTTACCTTCAGGGCGTCCCTTATCCAGCCTTCCACCAGGGCAGCCTGTGTGTTGGCTATCCCGCCTTTCCTAGAGTGTGTGTGTGGGGGGGTGTTTGAACCCCCCCATGATTTCTAATACTGAGCCCCTCCTTCCGAGAGAGGAGGCTCTGAGCCCGGTACAGGGCAGACCAACGTGCACGGACCAAGGTCTTTTCCCTTTACACCCACTGTTGCCAGTTCAAGTAGCATCTCTTCCCTCTACTTAGCAGGCCAAGTTTTGTTCTTTTTCCAGGTGGTTTCTGACTGGGTTTAAGTTGAGCCGGGAAGCCTTTGTCACCTGACTTGTCCAAAGCCACCTTTTGTCACTTGGAGATAAGTCCAGAAGCTGCCTCAAAGACTTCCCACTGTCATTTGGGGTTCATTACAGACATCCCCCTCAAGAGCTGCTACTGCCTGCGGATGGGGAAGGCAAAGGGAGCAACTGCCCCAGGGCCTGGCAATTCAAAGAGCCCCTGGCCCTTTAAATCTCAAACAGAGCCTCAGGTGGTACGCTCCAGATGGAGCGCTGGGGGCCATTGCAGCACAGTGCTGAGGACTGGCTGTCCTAGCCTTGCCCCTTCTGTCCAAGGCCCTGCCCCTTCCACCTGAGGCCCCGCCCCCTCTGAGAGCATGAAGTCACCCCCCCCCCCCTCACCTTGCCCAGGGGTCTGGCAATTCTGTCAGCCCCCCCTGCCACTGGGATTTGGGGCACAGCTCTACTATTGCTGCTGGGAGCCAAAGATGAGGGGAAATGCTTCCAAATGGTTCCCGTTTTGGTTGAGAAGACCTGAAAGAGGCCACCCTGAAGAACGACTAAGGTCCAGATAGAGAGAAACTCCCGTGGAGAATCACCGCAGCTGCTGAGATGGGAACAAAGAGAAACTACTCCAAGTGCTTTCGTTTTTCCTGCAGGACGGTGGGGGTTCCCCATTCTGCTTCTGGGAACCAGTGAGACCAGAACTGCCTGCCCGGTTTACCACTTCTATAGGGGAGAATTACTGCAGCAGAAGCAGAGTGTAGCAATTAAGGCTTCCTCTTATGGTAATGTTCTAGGCTCTTTTGAAGTTTCCCTGACAGACGTGGTTGCTTTATGGAAAGATGAGGAGAGTTTGAAAGGGGCTCTTGCCTGCAAATGCAACAGCTGAACCTTGCCGCAAATGGCGGTATCTTAGAACAGCCTGCGATTGTTGAAGAGAAGCAGGCAGACGGCTCCTGCAATGATTTCAAAAGCCCTGTCACGTATTTTGTACTAATACTGAGCTTTACACACGTCAAGTTCTTAACACAATAACAGAAAAGCATCAGCTTTTACCTTAGACTAAAATACGAAGGGTGGTTGTCAGACGGGTGCCTCGCTCTTTAAATGCAAAGAGGTTGGTGGTGTAGGATGAAAATTTTCACACTGGCAACAAAGCCGTGTGGTGCTGTTACACTGCTGCTAGCTGCCAAGCATCTTTCCTTCATAAAGTACTGACATTTGAATTAAAAATTAATCTGTAATAATCTCCGCCGCCAAACGTATCGGAACCAGGTCCTTGCAAGACTCGCTAAATTGAACCCCAAGAGATCGATCTCCGCAGCATCGATTTCTTGGTAAGTGAAGACCAGCCTTCAGCATTTGAGTATTTGGCTCATTTATAGTGATAGAAATGTAGCCGTGTTAGTCTGGTGAAGCTGGAACAAAAAACAGGACTATGTAGCACTTTAAAGACTAACAAGATGGTTTATTAGGTGATGAGCTTTCATGGGCCAGACTCACTTCCTCAGATCAAATAGTGGAAGAAAATTGTCACAATTGTCATAATTGGTTCATTTATAGCTGTCTCAGTCTCTACACAAGATCCGCTTCCAGCTAGCTCAGTTGGTATGTTTGATTTTTATGGACTAAGCATGAAGCTCCAAGACCATCCAGCAGGACCTGGGTAATTTCTGAATGTCGTATCTTTGAATTCTAATAATTGGGCTGAATAGTGATCTCACACGATTAATTATTCATTGAATTCAGTAAGGTTGGAGAACACGATAGTAGCTTATAAAACGTGAGAATGAAATCAGGATGCTTCGGTTTTTGTTTTATTTTTTTGGTACAGAGATGGGAAAAAAAACCCAGTGGGAATAGAAACACTTTTCATACTTTCATCTGTATTTCTGGTATATTCATCTTTTGGCATCTTTTTCCACCTGTTACCTAGCAATGACAATTTGAAGTCATTACATTTAATATTTAAAAACCGCATCTAAGCCAGAATCAGATGAGTTTGCCTGTTGCCAAGTGTTGCCAGAAAAAGCTTTGAAACTTCATCCTCCATACCATCATATGTATAACCTGTCTCTCTATAAAATTATTTTTATACATCACTCATGTGTAACTATTTAATATTTAGGCGTTTGAATTATAGAAGAACTATAGGCACTCTGCAAAACTCGAAAACTGTAAAGAAGCCATTATGTAAGTTTCAACAGATCTTTATTTCTTCAATGAATTCACTGTTGATATGGAAACTTTTCAGTAGGTTGCCGTGATTTTACTCATGTGCTTAAATATTTTTGTATACTCATAGATAATGTTCATGATGATTAGCTGTCACTTGCAATGTTCCCTCTAATCTTTTCCATCCAGGTGTAGATTTTTTTTTATGGTCAGCCAGGCATATACAGATATGCACTGCTAGGAGAAGCACAAACCTAGCTACGGGTGCTCTGCTGATCAGCTGGGCGGCATAGGAATCTTTCCTGAGTGGGCTGCATTAGATACGGAAGGGTTTGGGTTTGAGTATTGTCATTCCCAAGCATTCAAAAATGAAAATAAAAAAGAAGAGTGAGCCCCCCAAAGTCATGAGATTTGACCTTAAAGTCAAGAGATTTTAAAGATGATAAACTTTAGATTTGTTATTTACTAGCTGGGCTTTGTGCTTCAGAGGTGTTTGTGGATAAGAACAGGGGGGTCACATTTTTAAAGTTTTCTTTGCACCCGTAAGGGCTGGAAATGGGCTTAAAGCTAAGAAAAGAGGGGAAAGGGGAAGCTAAGATTCTCACATATTCTTAGGATTTAAAAAGCTGGGGGAGGTGGTTCAAGACCCTTACAAAATAATCCAAGATTGATGATTTAAAAACAAACAAATGAAAACAAAGTGTCAGGAACATTTCCCCCTTCTGGCCTTCAAGGAGAATTCAGCACCAGTGTCCTATTTCTTGGCATCTGTGCCATAGGAAGGCTTCCTTTAGCATGTGAAAGGGAAGAGTTATTGAATGTTTATTTGCAGCAGCTGCTGCTAATGAGATGGGGCGGGACGGATCTGAAAGAAGCAAATGATACGCTCTCTGGGGTCATAGACTGTAGGATAAAGGCAGTTCTGTGTTACCACTAAGGCTATGTCTAGACTGCAGCACTTTTCCGGGAAATGGTATCTCGGAAAAGCAATGCTGCGTCCAAGGAACGCGTCTGCTTTTCTGAAAAAATTTCGGAAAAGCGAACTCGCTCTTTCACCATCGCTCTAAACCTTGTTCTACAAGTAATAACGGATGTGTCGAAAGAGCAGGTTTTCCCGAAATTTGGTGCCGTGTAGACATGGCAAATTTTGGAAAGGCCTCTTTCGACAGAAAAGTGGAAAAAGACACAAATTGTGGTTTGCAATCTGCGTATCTTTTTCCGACTGACCTTTGTAGTCTAGACGTAGCCCAAGTGCAGCTGGTTAAATACTGTCCTTTCATGGTTACCTTCAGCTCTTCTTGGAGTAAGAAAGCCACGTGCATAAGTGAGGGTCCAGCGGAGGGCAACCAAAATGATTAGGGGGCTGGAGCATATGACTTATGAGGAGAGGCTGAGGGACTTGGGTCTGTTTAGTCTGCAGAAGCGAAGAGTGAGGGGGGATTTGAGAGCAGCCTTCAACTTCCTGAAGGGAGCTTCCAAAGAGGATGGAGAGAAGCTGTTCACAGTAGTGATGAATGGCAGAACAAGGAGCAATGGTCTCAAGTTGTGGTGGGAGAGGTCCAGGTGGGATATTAGGAAAAACTATTTCACTAGGAGGGTGGTGAGGCACTGGAATGGGTTACCTAGGGCAGGAGTGGAGTCTCCATCCCTAGGGGTGTTTAAGTCTAGGCTTGACAAAGCCCTGGCTGGGTTGATTTAGTTGGGATTGGTCCTGCCTAGAGCAGGGGGCTGGACTTGATGACCTTCTGAGGTCTCTTCCAGTTCTATGATTCTATGAGGCTAGAATTTGCCCCAGAATTGCCAGATTCCTGTAGAACAAGGGATCTCAAACTCCCTGCCCGCGGGCCAGTCCTAACCAGGGGAGGGGCTGTCTGTTACCAGCTCCCAAGCTCCGCCCCTTCCTGCCATCACCCTTCCCTCATGGCACCTTGTCCCTCTACACACGGCTTTGGGGACCACCAAGGGGCCTGGCACTATGTGGTAGCAGTGGTTGCCCCTCTTCCCCCTCCCGTGGTGGCAGGAGCTGCAGGGGAAGTGGATCGCATTGGGGGCTGCTCTTTCTCTGCTGCGCTCAGTTCCCCCACCGCTCTGCCCACCACGAGGCGGTGTGACCACGTCAGGCCTCCCCGATGACCCCCAATGCCATGTGCTTGGGAGACGAGGTGCCACCCGGGGGAGAGGTTGGGACGATGACGGGAAGGGGCGGGACTTAGGGGCCGGTAACAGACCAGGGCTCCCTTGCCTGCTGGGAGTCTTGGACCAGTCTGTGCAATGGCTCCATCCTGCCCAGCCCGCAGGCCTGGAGTTTGACCCCCTGAGGTAAAATGAAAGAGGCTGCTGCACACTAGCTGAGACTGTTGGAAAGCAAAGTATGCACGTGTTCAGAAACCAAGCAAAGAAAGCTAGGTCTCAACCTGTTTGCTCTGTGTCCCCCCTCTCCCTCCTAAAGCCAGAGAGTTTTTGGTCTCTCCCCCACCATCTGCTTTCTTTCAGTGCTATGTATACATCCACTAGCTACAGAGAGGACAGAGCGTACACACCAGGCACGTCTCTCCCCCACCATCTGCTTTCTTTCTCAGTGCTATGTACACATCCACAAGCTACAAAGAGGACAGAGCGTACACACCAGACAGCTGTCGGACAAGTTTATACATCAGTGTTTCCAAATAAAACTGTTTCGGTTAGCTTTTGTTTGGCTGCATACAATGCCGACAGCGTCCTGCCTCCTACTGCTTTTAATAGGACGCTCTGAAGGTAACCAATTAACCAGAGCTGCTGGATTTAATACAACGCTTTTGCAAAGGTTCCTGGGCTAGTGGGAAATATTAAGGGGAAAACCATCACTTCACAGAGTCTTTTAGTATCATTTTACTGACTAGCCTCACAACCAAGAGAATTTCTTCTGTTGTGATGATCGCTCATGTATCTGCCCATTTTTAACTGTCTCCCCTCTATCTTTTATGCTAACGACAGATGATCAGTCTTCTGAGAAAGGTAGGTTCTTTGCTTATCCTCATGTGGGCAAGCAAGGCCTTTTCCTAAGCAGGCAGGAACTCCCAGAGCAAAGGGGATAATTTGCTTCGTCCACCATTTATTTTTTTGTGAATGAGAATTACCTTCCAAGTTTCTATAAAAATACTCCTGTTTCCAGTTTACTCATGTTTCCAGTTTAATCTAGGATGAGTGCTTTTTGTTAGCTGCTGTTTGGCCAAATCCTGTGTTAATTTATACCTGCTACATCCTGCTCAGGTCCACAGGGATGAGCAGAAATTACAAATAGATGCTGAACTTGTTGCATTTGGAGTTATTAAAAATAGTTGCTTGGACACTTTTTGGGACACCAGTATCAATTTTGTTTAATTTTCTTAGCTAGTAATTTGGACTGCATTTCACTATGTTCCTTTCATTCTAATCAACGGGATTAAGTTCATGTTGTTTATAAACTCCCTTGTGTCTTATTAAACAGCAGGGGGGTTCTTAATTAATGGCTCTTCCTACAGATACCCTTTTCTAAAGGAACACGTTCAATGTGAGAGAATATCTCTGGAATTAAATTTCAACGTCTCTGACTTTGCTTGTGGTACAAATTGCATTCTGTCATCAGCTATCCAATTACTTAGCTTTCGAGCTTCAGAGGGGTAGCAGAGTTAGTCTGTAACTGGAAAAACTTAAACAACAAATAGTCTTACAGCACCTTAGAGACTAAGAAAGCATGTAGATGGTATCATGAGCTTTCCTGGGGCACAACCCACTTCTTCAGATGAAAACTTTTGGGGAGAGGTGTCTAGGAGGGAGGAAGAGAAGGAAGAAGCTAGTTAGCAGTGATAAGGGGTGGAAAAGGTTCCTTTAACAGTGGATCTTTACACTTGAAGTTACCACAAATACCTTATGTTACAGCAGCCATAGTATTTCACTATTATGCACCTACATTGAAAAAAGAAACCCCATTAATTTTTCTGAACTTACATGCAAGTATTAGACAGAAAAAAGCTGTTAGTTTGGACTGGCATCTCCTGTTATTTAAGGACTTGATCATACAAGACACTGAGTATTTACTCACTTAAGTAAAGTCAGTACATTGCCTTGAATGTGTGCAAAGTTTTGCGTGAGTGCAAAGTATGAAATGCCACGCGGTTTTCATTTGATAGGTGATCAAGTACAACAACTTTTTAGTATTTTACTGGGTATACATATTATGTTCTACAGATTCTAGTTCTCACATTTTTATTGTGCATGCTCTTGGCTTGTATATTTTATTATAAATGTAGGAGCTAGAGATCCGAAGTCGGTGTCACTCATATGATATCCTGTTTCTTGTCTATCTGGAAAAAGAACAGCACAGAAAAAAACATTAACTAAAAAGGAGAGTCAGCAAGTTTAGGGATCAGAGTGATGCTTCATCTTTGATGTTGTCACTCTCATGCGGAGAGGCACTGGAGTCTTAACAAGAAGCAAAGGCCTGGAATATTAGATCAATTTCAAACCTATATACCAGAGCAGTGACAGAATAAATACCAGCCCTTTCTCTGTGGTGGTGTGTTTTCATGGGCATATGAGTGAACATATAAGCAATATAAATACAGGTTGAACCTCTCTAGTCCGGCCTCCTTGGCACCTAACCAGTGCAGAACCAGAGAATTTGCTGAACCACAGGAGGTCAATTTTGTCTAGCCGCGTTACCAGCACTTCCACTGCTTGCTGGGCTCTTACTAGACAATTAGGGGTAAATTAGAGCTAAATCACAGCACAGAGCACTGAGAGCCAGGACCAGTGGCTGTAAGCAAACTTTGTGGGACCACGGGAAACTTGGCAACACCCATAATAAATGGACACGCAGCTCACTAAAGTCATGCCAGACCACGGATGTGTGTCAGTGTGTGCAACAATAGGGAGCGTCAACCTGTACTAATATGAACTGCACAGATGTGGTGAACAATAATTGTTTTTTCTGAGAGACCTTGTCTGAGGTGTTAAATGGGAATCTCCAGTGGAGATGCTAATTTAATGGCATTTTATATAGATCATGAGCCATGGCCTACAGTAGTTCTGTCATTAATACTTGTGTGTATTGATAGTACAAGATGGAGAGCTTTCCTCCAAACCAGATAACATACACAGATAACATACGCAGCGTAACGTCTCTCTTCCCCTTCTCTCATCTTCTTTATTAACAGCGGACTGTGACTGTGAGGGATATTTCAATGGACAATATATAGGTGAGGGACCTAATTCCCATTCCTCTTTCCTGTAATATATGGTGTGTCTAATAATGTGCTTCTGTTTACATCAGTAGTTGCTTTTCATCTGAATTGGTTTCAGGTGAGTTGGTAACGAGAATACCACAAGGCCCCGGACAGAGCCAGAGCTGAACACCAAATTAAATGATTCAAGAATTCATTCCAAAGCAGCCCCTTTGCTTATCAGGTGGAAACCTGCAGGGGAAAGAGGTATTTGAGTCTCCATCACAAACGCAGGTAGTTGTCATGAACGTCCCATGAGGGATGTTGGAGTTTAACTCTCTCAGAGGGGTAGTCATGTTAGTCGGTAACTTTAAAAAGAACAAGTAGTCTTGTGGCACCTTAGCCCTGGTCTGCACTAGGGAGTTATTTTGAAATAACAAGTGGAGCATTCACACAATGATTATTGTTATTTCAAAATAAGGGGCTGGTTATTTCATAATAATAATTCTTGCTTTCCACTAGGAATAGCGCTTATTTTGAAATAGTTATTTTGAAATAGCGGTAGTGTGGGCACTCCACTGGTGCTATATCAAAATAATTATTCCCCGGAGTCATTCAAAGTAATGACTCCCCAATGCTCCTTGGGGCTCTAAGTTGAGGTATCGTGTCCATATGAACAGAGCCTGCCTCGGCCTAATTTCAAGGCTTCCCTGTAGGATGGTCACGCTATTTCGAAATAATTATTTCAGGGGTTATTATTTTGAAACTAGACAATTAGCCCGTCATAAGATGGGATTTTCAGGTTCTTCCTCCACATTGGTCTTCTCTCCTGAGCCTCCGATCTCTCGCTCCGTGTCTCTTTCTCTCTCTCTCCTCCTCTTCCTCCTCCTGCCTCCCCCCTCTCTCAGCTCTCCTCTGTCTTCTGCCTCTCTCTCTTTCTCTTCTCCCCCTCCTGCCTCTCACTCTCTCTCTGCTCTCCTCTGTCTCTGTCGGGGATGCAGTGCTCAGCCGACTTCTGCGCTGCTCAGCCGGGCCGCCGCGCGGGAGCAAGTGGCGCAAACAGCCTCTCTCTCTCTCTTCTCCTCCTACTGCCTCGCCCCCTCTCTCTCAGCTCTCGTCCACCTCCTGCCTCCCTCTCCGTCTCTCTCTCTTTCTCTTCTCCCCCTCCCGCCTCTCACTCTGTGTTTCTCTTCTCCTCCTGCTGTGTCTCTCGCTGTCCTCCGCCTCCTCCATTCTCCTCTCTGTCTCCTCTGCGTCCTCTGCGTGTGCTTCGCTTTCCTCCTTTGAATCCAGCACCCTTTCCTGACGTCAGAGATGGAGGCTCATCCAGGCCCCATGCCCTTGCTATTCCCTCTGGGTGGCGCTGTTGCCTCCTACCGTGGCGCTCGGCTGACATGCCCTTAGAGACATATGTAGTATCATGAGCTTTTGTGGGCAAAACCCACTTCTTCAGATGAGCTGGAAGCTAGGTTGGAAATAACAGGAACCCAGAATTTATAACAGAAAAAGAAGTTACCTGTCAATAGCAGTACCGGTGCTAATTAGACTCATTGAGTGGGTTGGAAGTGTGCCATCCTTAACTTTTGATGTAAATGAGGTGTTAAATGCATGGAAGGCAGGCTTTATAATGGGGCATCTAGTTAATATCTTTCTTCAAGCCCAGGGAAACAATGTCAAATTTGCATATGAAGGTCAATTCCGTACTCTCTCTCTGTAATTGGCTTGTGAAATTCCTTTGTAGAAGAATAGCTACTTTTAAATCCATTGATGAGTGCCCAGGCAGATGCTTATCTGTTAATGTTATCGGTTAAACTGTACCCTGCCCCCACGGAGGCAGCTTTCCTGCGCCAGCAAAACCACCTCCCCAGAGCAGAGCCATCAGCCCCTGCTCCTGGGGGCAGCTTTACTGTGGGTCTGCGGTATGAAGCTTATTTAAGCTTTATACTCTAGAGTCTGCGGCACGTGTAACCACTAAGATTTTTTTTAACAGTTACACGGTTCCCTTATCAAACAACTTTTAACGTCCCGATTTCCCATGGAATAGTATGTATTTATGCTACAGTGGGGGTTAATTGCAGCCATTTATGGAGCTGGGAATTCTAGTCCCACCTTCTCCATCATTATAAACCAACTGGGGCACATGGCGCTTAACAACAAGCCAGTCGCCATCGTATTGAAAGGCCACAGAATTCTTGGTTCAAAAGAAGCTGAGAGGGTTGGCTAGGAAGATACATCATTGAATGTTTATGTTTTGCTCTTTAGCTGGGTTGAGGAGGAGCTTTCGGTTGAGCCGAAAGGAGAAACACAACAACCACAACGAGGCAAAGCAAACAGATGTCGCTGAGTTCCTAACATACGAAGAAGTCACTAAATATCAGCCGCAGCTGGGAGAGAAGCCGAGATTGGTGGTTTTAATTGGTATGTCAGAGCTGGTCAGAAATTTTCTGTCCAAGATTTTCAGAGGATGATGCCTTTAAAAAAAAAAGACTTTTAAAATGAAAAGCTGAAAAAAATCCCCCCAGAAGCCACAAAGCAGTATTCCAGGTCTTGGCAAGGTCCTGTATTTACTGATTCCCTGCCAAGATGTTTGGACCAGGACCTAAGTGTTCTTAGGCTGTTAGAATAGTTTATGAAGAATTGGGTTTGTTTAGTCTGGAAGAGAGAAGACCAAGAGGGGACATAACAGCTTTCAGGCATCTAAAAGAGGGTTACAAGGAGGAGGGAGACAAATTTATCCTCCTTAACCTCTGAGGATAGGACAAGTAGCAATGGACTTAAATTGCAGCAAGGGAGGTTTAGCTTCTGGTTCTAGTATTCTATGATTCTGTCAGAGAAAAGGCGGCTCAGTTAGGCTATGTCTACACTGGCGGGTTATTGCGCAAGAACAGCCATTCTTCTGGAAAGCGTCCACACTGCCCGCCTGCTCTCGCGCAAGAAGATTTACAGTACGGCATGGTAAGAAAGGGCTTCTTGCTCAAGATCTATGCTCTTTTTTAACAGGTGTAAGCCCTCTTGCACAGGAGCTCTTGCGCAAGAGGGCGGTGTGGACGCTTGGCAGGGGTTTCTTGTGCAAGAAAGCCCTATCGCTAAAATGGCCATGAGCGCTTTCTTGCGCAAGAGAGCATCTACACTCCCATGTATGCTCTTATGCAAAAGCACAGCTGGCACATGGCAGTGTGGATGTTTTCTTGTGCAAGAGTTCTTGCACAAGAACCCTTGCGCAAGATGTTCTTGTGCAAGAAGCCGCCACTGTAGATATAGCTTAGATTTTCTGCATTTGTTCCATAAGCTGAGCAACTCTGATTCTAGGTATTTTCCTAGGGTAGCTTAGAGTCAGGGGATATCCTGGAAAACGAAATGCTATGACCATAGTGTTTCTGCTGTCATGCCTGGATAAATATCTGGCCTCCTACTGCTTAAAAGTCAAGCTGCCGCAAGTAATGCTCTTTAAAGTAGAATGGGATGGGACAGGAATTTTTGCTGTGCCAAGAACAGATTTCTGTAAACCTTCTCCTACATCCTCTTTGTGCAACTGGAAAAATAGCCCGTTCATTTATTCTGTTTGCGGTATTTCTCTGTTTGCCTTTCCCCAAATGTCCATTTTCATTTCCTCATTGCTCAGGTTCTTTGGGAGCCAGACTCAATGAGCTGAAGCAGAAAGTTGTGTCAGAGAATCCACAGGAGTATGGTGTTGCAGTTCCACGTAAGTAACATTAACAAGAATCTGGTGTCCCCACTATATGCTGCGTGCACTCATGCAGTGATTAATCTCACCTCTGTCCACTCTGTTCCTGTTCCCACTATATTTACATAATTTTTTTCAGAAGCAGCTCAAATTCTTCCCCCTCCTTTTGGAGGGTCTGCATTTTTCTCTCTGATTGACTCGGTATATCGCCCCCCCTCTCTCTGGCATGCACCAAATTTGGAATCTTGTCAACTTGTTTGATTTCTATCATTATGCTTCCCCGTAGGGACAGATTGCGTCTCTCAATATCCATAAAAACATGAAATTGACAATGGGGGAAGGAATTAGAGTGTAAATCTCAAAAGGTGGAATTAAAATGGGACATTTCTTCTGATTCAGCAAAGAGGAGAAATTTAGGCTTATTTAATGATGATGGTGCTGGATTAGTCACAGAGTTTTAATTCAATTTAATTAAAGACAAAAAAGTTACCCCTAGGAAGTACAGAGCAATGAAGCAGGCAAATGTCTTAAGACAAAGGACTGATATTTTGAAGCCTCGATTAACATGTTAATTCTCTCCATACCCACTGAGCCACAGTGATGTGGGAGCTTGTGCGTCTATTTAGTTTTGGAGACACGAAAACCCGAGGCAAATCAGCATCCAATGTCTGCAAACCCCATATTTGATGTTCATTATACTGTTTCCTGTCTTCCAGATACAACAAGGTCGAAGAAAAGTCATGAAAAAGAGGGGGTGGAATACAATTTTGTCTCTAAGCAATCCTTCGAAATGGATGTACAGCATAACAAGTAGGTTCGCTTTAACATTCAGAAATACTGTGGCTGGAGCTACAGCATGTGGCGTGTCAAAATGTAGACTATGTGCACACCTACTTCAGTGCAATAATGGGATGGGACCATTTTTCCAGTAAACAGTTGGTTTCAGTTTGCGTATCAATACACTCAAAGCCTGCGGGAAAGACAGGTTAGGAACAGTAGGTTGGAAAGAGGCTCCCAATTTAAACCTCCCTAGAACTGTGTTTCTCAAAGTGGTCCACAGACTCACTCTGAGAAAGCTGCTATCACGCCTCCCTGGTTTGTTTACTTACCGGCTTCACAGACATAGAACCTCATGGCGCCTAGTGGCTGAGGTTCGCCAATTGCAGCCACGGGGAACTGCGGGAAGCAGCTTTCGCAGAGTGAGTCCGTGGACCACTTCGAGGAACCATGCCCTAGAAGCTTGAAAAGTAAAATTGTTTTCCTGGCTATCTTTATACTGGTCTCTGCAGAAAACGTGAGGTTTCCTCTCACCCTTCTCTAGATTTAGAATTCAGCTGAAACTACCGTAGCACTTTTCCTTTAAAAATGAGTGGCATCTTAGGGTGTGTCTAGACTACAGGGTTTTGTTGACAAAAGTGGACTTTTGTCGACAAAACTAAACCTGCGTCTACACTACCGCTGAGTTCTGTCGACATAACGTCGACAGAACTCAGCAGTTTTGTTGACGCTGGTAAACCTCATTTTATGAGGAATAATGTCTTGTTGACAGAGTTCTGTCAATAGAAGGCATTATTGCATCTAAACTGTCCTTTGCGTCCACACTGTTATGTCGACAAAGCAGCTTGCTTTGTCGACAGAACTGAATGTAGTCTAGACGCTCTTTGTCGACAGAAGCTTTGTCGACAGTATCTGCCGACAAAACTTCTGTCGACAAAAGCCTGTAGTCTAGACGTACCCTTAGAGACTAACAAAAATATATGGAATCATGAGCTTTCATCAGATGAATTGGAGTGGAAATAACAGAAATCAAGAGATATTAGCCTCATTAACACAGGTCCTACAATTGACAGGCACATCTTCTGCTGTTATATATAGATCTACGTGTGTGTGTGTGTGTGTGTGTGTGTGTGTGTGTATATATATATATATATATATACACATACTTATTTCCACTCCATTTCATCTGAGGATGTGGGTTTTGCCCATAGAAGCTCATAATTCTATATATTGTGGTTCGTTTCTAAGGGTACGTCTAGACTACATGCCTCTGTCGCCAGAGGCATGTAGATTAGGCTACCAGACATAGGAAAATGAAGCGGCGATTTAAATAATCGCCGCTTCATTTAAATTTACATGGCTGATCAGCTGTTTGTCGGCTCAGCGTGATAGTCTGGACGCGCAGGTGTCAACATCAAAGGTATTTGTTGACCACCCAGATAAACCTCCTGGGATGAGGTTTACCTGGGTGGTCGACAAATACCTTTGATGTCGGCAGGGGGGCGTCCAGACTATCGCGCTGATTTTGTGGTGGGCATGCTGTCGTCCAGACTATCGCGCTGAGCCGACAAACAGCTGATCAGCTGTTTGTTGGCTCACCGCAGCAGCCATGTAAATTTAAATGAAGCGGCGATTATTTAAATCGCCGCTTCATTTTCCTATGTCGGGTAGCCTAATCTACATGCCTCTGGTGACAGAGGCGTGTAGTCTAGACGTACCCTTAGGTGCCACAGGCCCACTCATTGTTTTCATCCGATGAATTACCTGTCAATTGTAGGAGCCATGTTAATGAAGGTAATTAAGTGGGCTGGATGTATCAGCCTTACTGATGATCGCTGATGCCCTGGGAAAAGGATGGCCATTAAGCCCCCAGAAGATTCACCAGAGCATGACGTTCAGAGACTTGTAGCTGGCCTAAAAGAGTAGAGGTTTTGTTGAGACTGTGATGATAATGGTTAGACACCAAACTGATGCATAGAGCTCAGTTTGCTTTCCCCGTTGTCATACGGAATAGGTTTGAGGTACCTCTGATGTTGGTCTTAGAGCATGTCTACATTTGCACCCTCTTTCGAGAGAGGGATGCAAATGCAGCTGAGCAAAATTGCAAATGAAGCACAGATTTGAATTTCCCACGCTTCATTTGCATAATTGCGGACCGCCGCTATTCCGAAATACCCTATTTCAAAATAACAAACGCTGGGGGTGCAGACTGTGGGTCGAGGTTGGGGATGAAGGTGTTAGGGTGGGGCAGGAAGTTGGGGCACGGGGAGGTGGGATGAAGGCTCCAGGTGGTGCTTACATGAAGCAGCTCCCGGAAGCAGCGATACGCCGCCTCTCTGGCTCTTACATGGATATACAGCCTGCCCCGTCCACAGACGACATTGCTCACTCCCGCAGCTCCCAGTGGCTGCAGTTTCCAGCCAATGGGAGCCGCAGAGCCAACACGCAGGGCGGGTGCAACATGCAGAGCTGGATGCCCTTACACGTAGGAGCCATAGCAGAGACATGCCGCTGCTTCTGTGAGGCAAGGAGTCTGCCTTAGCCTCACCCCACTGCCAACCAGACTTTTAACAGCCCGGGCAGCAATGCTAGTGACTGGACACCAGGTAAGGGGGTCACCCATTGGTGCTGAAAGTAGGGGTGCTGCCACATCTCCAGGCTTAAAGGGGCTTCCATTATCTGGAGCGTTTAATGTCAGCGTTCCCTGTAAGCTGAGTGCTTGGGCAGCCATCCAGGAGAGATTCCAGTGCTTCCCAGCTGATTAGCAGAGCAGCCATAGCCGGCAGCATGTGTTTCTATTGGTGGTGCACATCTGCACCTGCCTCGGTGTCCATGTAAAAATTTATTCCCCACATGGATGGAAAAAAATGAGAAGGAACATTGTTTACAGTTAAGTTCAGTGACTTGCCCCCCCCCCCCCACTGTGAAAATTGTTCCTGATCCCTTAGAGACCCCTGCTTTTCACAACTCCCTGAAATTTGAAAAATGTAAAAAAAAAAAAAACAGCTGTCAAAGTTCTTGAGTTTCCTTTGCTTTATGACATCGAGTCATGGAGGACGACTACTTTAACGTTTCAGGTTTGTTGAACACGGTGAATACAAAGAGAATCTGTATGGAACTAGTCTCGAGGCAATCCAATCTGTGATGGCCAAAAATAAAGTTTGTTTGGTGGACGTGGTACCGGAAGTAAGTACAGCTGCTTTTAAAATGGCTTCTGATTGGGGGCGGGAGGCAGCCTCGCCCCAGTGGTCAGGAATAACATGAGCACGCAGCAGTAGCCAGCCCGCTCAGTAAACTAAAATGTGTGTGGTGGGCAAGAAATTGTAAACAACTCGCTTAGCCCTTCCCTCTGTGAATCCTGCGTTCCCCAGGCACATGCTGTATCCCCTAGTCCACTCAAGAACCCACCCCACCTCCCTACCTTCAGAGGGTCCCTTATCCTGTGTTGGCTGTCTGGTTGCTCCCAGGATGGCAGGGGAGCACCCAATCTCGATTTTCCCCTGTCTCTTACTTAAGTAGTAGGCGATTTATCCATCGTTGTGCGGGTCCTTAACTCAGTTAAGGGATTTTTTGAAAATTAAAATAAACTGTCCAGTTTCATTTGAATCATTGGTCGGAGGTGGGGGTGGGGGTCAGGGGCTCAGGATGCTGGCTGACCCGGGGAAGAAAGGACAACCCCAGCCCTCCGTCACTGCAGCAGCTTGGGGCCAGGTGAAAAGCGCCTCTCCATGGCTGCTGCATCTCCAGCGGCCACAGCCGGAGGAGGGGTGCATGTGGCAAGTGCCAGGTTC